TCTATGAGACTGGAGGGGCGTATTTATTTTTGGTAGGGAGTGGATATTTCTGGTTCATGGCAGCCTTCCTCTCAGAAATGGTTCAGTCATTCATCTTGGCTGATTTCTGCTACTATTATGTCAAGAGGTAAAGACCATCTCTTTATTGTAGGACCCATGTCAAAGATGAGTCATACTGTTCATAATTTATAAACAATGCGGCTTCCTTTAGATTCATTCACTAATATATAAGATGTTCCATTCATGGATTTTTTTTGGGTGCAGCATCATGCAAGGACAGCTTTTGAGGAAGATGCCTGTGTAGTGCAATTATCTCCCAAGCAACATTGTAAATGAATGTCCGGCGTTAGAAAGTTAAAGCATACATTGACTTTAAGGCCGATTGTTTGGTTTGTCATTTTTTATTTGAGTTTCAAATCTCTCGTGCTTTTGAGCTTTCAAGGTGTTCAACTTTACAGCGACATTTTATATTTTTGGAAAAAAAACTAATATTTTAGTCCTTAAGTTTTAGTTCACTTAAGACTTCGGTCATTTAATTACGACTCACTATGACTAAGTTCTTGAACTTGTTAAAAACTCAATCCCTGATCTTTTTTTTTCCTTTAATAATTTTGTCATTGTTATCTATAACTCATTCGAAGTCATCATTGACACAAACTTACTTGGTCAAAAAACACCATTAAAAATTATTTTGGGTAAATGTGTATATTTTTTTAAGTGTACCTAGCACTCTAATATTCATAATAGTGCAATTTTACTCATAATTTATTAAATTCAGTGCAATTTCATCCATTTTTTAGGTTTATGATGTGATTGTAATTTGGTTGCTATGTATGAAAATTTTAAGTAATTTGATAAAAGGACAAAAATTGTTAATTGTAACCATTGAGGTGAATAAAAAGGAAAAAGTGAATTTGAATAAATAAAGAAACACCGAGATTACTACAAATTTTAAAAATATGGGTAAAATTACATAAAAAAAAGATTAGAATGTTGGATGCACTTGAAAAATAAAATTAGATACTGTGTTACTTTACCCAATTATTTTTAATAGGGCAGAAAGTTTCGAATATAACTATGAGTTTATAATTGTGATTTTTGTTTGGAATTGATATTTGCATATTATTTAAAAAAATAATTGAGAAACTAATAGTCATTAAACCCATCTTTTAACAAATAGCAGCCGGTTCCTTAATATAAAAACTAAATAACTTATTTAATAATATTAAGAAAATTGTTAAGCTATTTATTTGTAACAAGTATATGTTGATTTTCTTACACTATTCCTCTTTAATCACATATATTGGGATGATCTTTTGGTAGAAATATCTTACAATCAACAAAAATATTTTAAGAAAAAAATTGTAAATTTAAAAAACAAAATGACTCGAAATCTTATATTTATAAGTTAGAATCAAATTCAATTATCAACAAGTTTTTATATTAATATTAATAACGTGGGTTAGCATTCAAATTACCTCAGAATCAACGTGTACATGCTCCTACTTCATTAATGTTATCTTTGGCATGGCTATTTTAAGGGAAAAAACAATAAAATATCTTAGAAATTACTAAATTATAAATCAATATGGGTTAATTTTAAAATTTCAAATCATATCTCTTGTACTATTTCAAAATTTATAGATATTATGAAATGACACAAATGCCCTTCATTATTTTTTTAAAATATTGTCACATCAACACCCTTAACTAGTTTTCAACCGTGAGGGCTCTGCACTGATAACCCGTCCGTTAGTCGGAATTTTGGTGATTGGTCTTTGGAGCTCTAGTGACTATTCTTTCTTATGTATTAACTATTCTTTTTTTAGTTACTTATAACTTTTGTTTTTAGAACTCTGATAACCACTCTTGTTTAACTATTAATTATTCTAGTATTGTGATTAACTATTTTTATTTTTAAAAAATGTGACTACTTTTATTTAGCTATTAATTATTCTAATTTCGCAATTTACTACTTTTGTTTTAAAGATTCAAAGAATGCATTTAGTGTTATAACAAATCTATTAACTATTTTTATTTAGTTATTTACTACTTTTGTGTGGTTAATAGTTATTATGCTTGTTGTTCTTATGTTAAAAAAAAAAAAAATAGTCATCAGAACTTTAAAGACAAAAGTAACACTATTTAAAAATTTTAAAATAGTACAATAGATTTGATTTGGGATTTTGAAATTCATCCACCCTCATTTATCTTTTAGTATTTTTTAGGGTACTTTATTATCCTTTTTTTCAAATATTTTAGAAAGGAAAAAGAAAAGGTGATCATATGCATGTTTATTACGTAGAAAAGGGATTTTCTGAAAACTTATTACTTTAATTAAAAGAATCCCTTCAAGGCTAGTAGGTTTCCTTCCCTTGCATTAAAAAAGTAATGGGAAAATTAGAGGGAAGAAACAATTGAAAATTATATTTATTAAAATGGATCATAAAAATTATAACTATTTGAAAGCACAAAATACTGAAACACAAATTTAAAGGTATTAAATTGCCTCTTACCAAATATTCTAACTGTCCTCTTATCTTTATTTTGTTTTTTAAAAAAAAGGTAAAACTAAAAGTAAAACCACCCGTTATCCTATGATCATATAATTTGTTTTTAACTCTTTTTTTTAAATCAATATTTGTATTCACCATATCATTAATATATCGCTTAATAATTAATATAAGTATTTATTAATTTATATCATCATTAAATTACTTTTTGGCTAATATATAATATTTTATATTACTAACATTACATTACTAAAATAAAACTAAATTTTAGGAACTAAAGATAATATTAATCCATAAATTTAAAAATCACCACACGTCCATGAATAAATAAATAAATGGAAAAATTACTATGGTGTGCCAAGCAAAGAATATAATCTTAAAAAATGTTAATAACAAGTAATCAACATGAATTTTATTGTTATTTCTTACATAATAATTTGTGATTAATTTGTCATGGAGAACCCATTAAAAAGGAAAGAAGTAATTCCTCTCCTGAGTGGGAGCTTTTCTCTCTCCACGTGAGTTTGTTATGGCGGTTATCGTCGCTTTTGCTTGTGGCTTCTGAGTCTGTCGTGTGTTGTGACGGTGAGAGAGGTGTTCTGAGAGGGCTTCGTCACCCCCTGCAACGTAGTGAAGAAAGAGTGTTTTCTCTGTTATTCATTGTAACAGAGGATTAGTAAGGATAGAATTTATGGAGGTACAAGGATAGTGCAGGAACGGAGGTTGGTGAGAAGTGTCACGATGAATGTATAAGGAAGAATGCTAGTGAATTGGCAGTAGACCTTATCTGGAAGAAGAAAAAGGACCACGACTTCAATGGCAGTGCTCTTGTCAGGAAGATTATCTCAGAAAAGAATCTAAATCCTGCGACTGCTGTTCAGATAATTCAAAAAAGATGGAATCTTCAAAAAAATGAGGATCTCGAGATAGCTGAAGTAGATCGTAAGGTGTTCATTCTTTAATTTCGCAGAAAAGAAGATTACGAGAGGATCCTAAGAGGTCGTCCTTGGTCGATCAATGGCCTGTTATTGAACATCCAGTGCTGGGACGAAGAGATGATATTCAGTGAAGTGGATTTTGATTTTTGTCCTTTTTGGATTCAATTCCATGATCTGCCTCTTGCAGCGATGGATGTTAAGAATGCTGTGAAGTTAGGGAGCTTAATTGGCGAAGTAGTAATGGTTGAGGATCCAAGGGCAGATTACTCACTAATAAGAAGCTTCTTACGAGTAAGGATACTGGTAGATCTAAGGAAACCATTGGTAATAGGAATATGGGCTCCTAGAATAAAGAGAGATCCTATCTGGATCAAGGCTCGCTATGAGAGACTAAAGAATTTCTGTTTTGCTTGTGGCAGAATTGGGCATGATTTGAGGAATTGTGGTTTTTCAAAGGAGAATGATGGTAGTGTTTCAGCTGAGTATGGATTATGGTTGAGTACTCTGGTTGCTCGAAGAAATGTTGAGACAATTAGACTACTTAAGGCTAATTGGGAGGAAGCTGAGGGTCATAAACATTTCTCTAAAAATCAGGTGAAAGAGATACCAAAACTGACTAAGCAGCCTACCATAAGCAATGATGACATAGTAGTAGCTAAGGAAGCGGATCTGACAAATAATCAACAAAGCTACAACTTTAAGCATCCTATAAAAGTGTTGAATGAGAATGCTCTGAGTAAAATGAGTTGTACCAACTGTGATTGAAGGCAGAAACGTTGAAGAAAAGAGTAAGAATGAACCTAATGAGAGCATCTCAGGTGACCTAAGGAGCCGTAGAAAGATTAAAATAAAGAGAGTTAGTAATTCAATGGCTAAGGAGAACCTTTCCCCTATTGCCACAAATGAAGATCTATCAAAAGCTTTGGTTGTTTTTGGCAATATTTCACCAGTGGCTGAAGTCACTCGCGGATTAAAAAAACTTTGGCTTGAAGAGAAGATATGGTAAAACAGAAGAAGTTGATAATAGGGAAAAAGAAAAAAGAAAAATATGTTTTGTAGAAGTGGTGGAGCTGCAGAAACACATCAATGATCCTATTAAGAAGAAGGAAGTGAGGAGGAGTATTCGGGCTATCAGAAGAAGCATGAGACAAAGTAGAGAAAAGGGAGAATGCCCAGTGTTAAATGGTAATTTTTCTTCCTAGTTGATTGAGAGGAAAGCTACTTCTTGCCCTACTGATGGTTCTGGTGACTGGCCATAATCACTCACTAAGGGGCCATGATCTTTATATCTTGGAACTACCAAGGATTTGGTGCTCCCCGGGAAGTAAAGAACCTAAAGGGAGTTTGCCTCAAACATAGACCTTCTTTAGTGTTCCTTATGGAAACTAAGAAGCACCAAAATTATATGAGAAAAGTTAGAAAGAAATCGGGCTTTCATAATGAGCTATTTGTGGATCCTAGAGGTAGAAGTGGTGGATTGGCAGTTTGGTGGAAGGTTGAAGTGTAGCTTGATTTAATATCGAGCAGTCCAAATATTATTCATGCTAGAATGTCTTGTTCAAATGATAAGGTACCTGAATTCCTCACGCTTGTATATGGACCTCGAAAAGAAACTAAGAGATGCCGGGTATGGAATAGATTGAGAAGTTTGGCACCTTTTGTAAATGGTTCTTGGCTTTGTGCTGGGGACTTTAATGAAGTTTTGAACCAGAGTGAGAAATTGGGGGGAAATCCAAGGGCTGCCAGGAAAATTCTCAGATTTCACAAGATGATTAGTGATTGTGAATTTATGGATCTGGACTTCAAAGGTTCAAGGTTCACTTGGGTGAATGGCAGAATGGGAGAAAATCATATTAAAGAAAGGATAGACAGGGTTTTTGGAAATGGTGTTATGAGAGAAAAATTTCCAAAAGCTATGGTTTTTCATTGTGAGCCTGTGGGATTTGATTGTCACTCATTTGTGGTGAACCTGAATTACCAGCAGGATAAAAATCCCAGATTATTCAGGTTTGAGCCGTATTGGTGTGAGCATGAGGAATATGATGGGGTGGTTAATAGAAGCTGGAGGTCTGATAAGTTTTTGAGTAATGGTATGGCAGATGACCTGTCCTTTAAACTTGTGAACTGTAGCAAGGCTTTAAAGAAGTGGAGCAAGAAAGCTTTTCCAAATAATAGGAAAAGAATTAAGACTTTCATGAGCAAATTGGAAGACTGTAATAAACAGATTCTATCTGAAGAGATTGTGTTGCAGAAGGAGGTGATTATCTGTGAGTTGGAAGATGTTTGGAAGCTAGAAGAAAAATACTAGCACCAAAGATCCAGAATCAAATGGTTGAAGGAAGGGGACGGTAACTAAATTTTTCCATCTCACAACCATACAACATAGAGCGAGAAACAAAATTCTGAGATTGAAAAATGAAAGTGGGAGATGGTTGGAAGAGGGAGCTGCTATAGTAGCTGAATTTACCAATTATTATAGAAGCCTTTTCTCAGACACTAGTGCAAGGGATCTCACTGAGGCACTCTGTTATGTTGACTGCAAAATAACTGAAACTGATAATATGTGGTTGTTGAGAAATGTAACTAAAGAAGAAGTGAAGGCAGCTTGCTTTCAAATGGGTGGAAGGAAGGCCCCTGGACTTGATGGTTTCATTAGGCAATTTTTTCATTGTTTATGGGAGACTGTGGGAGATAAGGTGTTTGAAGTAGTGAAGAACTGTGTGGAAAATGGTGAACTGATTTACCCATTTAATACCACTAATTTGGTGATGATACCTAAAATTGACAAACCGGAATTGGTAACACAGTATAGGCCTATAAGTCTTTGTAATTACTGCTACAAAGTAGTTTCAAAGGTTCTGACAAATAGAATGAAATCTTTCATGCTGAAAATTATCTCTAAAAATCAATGTGCTTTTGTTGAAGGAAGAATGATACATGACAACATCATCTTGGCTCATGAGGCTTTCCATTATTTGAAAAGAAGGAGAAGAGCAAGCAGTTGCGAATATGCTTTGAAAATGGATATGAGTAAAGCCAATGACAGAATTGAATGGGATTTTTTAGAGCAAGTAATGCTGAAGTTGGGGTTTGATTCAAAGTGGGCGGCTTGTGTCATGAATTGCGTCAGGTCAGTGAAATATTCCTTTACGCTCTCTGGCAAAAGGATAGTGGAGGTGGTTCCGGGGAGAGGTATAAGACAAGGTGATCCTCTATCACCTTATCTTTTTATCTTAATTGTAGATGTTCTATCTAATATGATTAAGAAAAATGTGGAGAGAGGTGACCTTGAAGGTATTAAGTTGAGTCATTCTTGCCTAATTCTGTTACATTGTCTCTTTGCAGATGATTCTTTGTTCTTTATAAAGGCTTCAAGAAGAAACTGTCAGAATTTAAAGAAGATTTTTGCTGTGTACGGTAGTGCTTTAGGACAGTTGGTTAACTTGGAGAAATCTGGCATCTTTTTTCCTGCAAACACTAATGAAAACAGAAGAAAACGTGTTTGTAGGTAGCTAGATATCAAAGAAACCAAGGATCCTGGAAATTATCTTGAACTTCCTGTGGTGTGGGGTAAATCTAAGGCTGAGTCACTTACTTTCATCTGAGAAAAGATGATTAAGAAAGTTCAAGGGTGGAAGCAAAAATACCTTAATCAAGCTGGAAAGGAAGTGTTGATTAAGAAAGGAAGCGTTGATTAAGAAAGGAAGCGTTGATTAAGACAGTGTTGATAGGCTTATCTCAAAATTCTGGTGGGGAAAAGGTACGGAGGGTGATGGGATGCACTAGAAAGCATGGGATATGATGACAATACAGAAAAGGAAAGGAGGTCTGGGATTTAGAGACTTTGCTAATTTTGATTTAGCCATGTTGGCAAAGACAACATGGAGAATCATTCAAAATCCTGAGGCACTATGGGTTAAGATGTTGAAAGGCCTCTATTTTCCTCATTCTGATTTTTTTGAATGCTTGCAAAGGTGGAAGAGCTTCCTGGGGATGGTCAAGCGTCTTAGATGGCAGGGAATTGTTGAAGCAAAATTTAATATGGTGAATTGGGAATGGTAGGAAGGTAAGGGTGTGGGAAGATTGGTGGATAAGGGAAGGTGTGCTAAAACATTCTGCTAGCAATCCTCCTTTTGACTCTGAGATGTTGGTTAGTGATCTTATGGAAGATGACCAGTGGAAGAGTGAACTGATATTTGAGTTGTTTAACGTTGATATAGCTCAAAAAATACTACAAATACCTATTTCTTTGCTGGAAAGGGGGGATAAACTAGTATGGAAGGGCTGTAGGAATAGAATTTATTCAGTAAAGGCTGGTTATGTTTTCCTGAAAAACATAAAACTTGTTAGGAAGATGAGACCAGAATCTTCCTATGTTATACCAGAGGGACTCTAGAGTGAAATATGGAAACTCAAAGTACCTCCAAAAATTCAACACTTTATGTGGAGAGCTTCTCAAGGTGGACTGACTACGGCAGAAAACCTATATAGGAGGAAATGCAGCAAGGATCCTGTTTGTAAAGTTTGTGGTAGGTATGATGAAACGATGAACATTGCCTTCTCCTTTGTGAGTGGGCAAAAAAGGTTTGGTTTGGCTCACCTATTGGCATAATGTTGAATGAGAGAGATATTACCAGATTTGACAAATGGTGCTGGGTCATGCTAGGTGAAGGCAGGAAAGGAAATGACTTCCAAAAAGCATTGCTTGCATCTATCTGTTGGCATATATGGAAATATAGATGCAATGTAATTTTCTAGGATATTGAACTAGATCTAGAAAGAACTTTGAGGAATGCAATTTCTCTAATAAATGAATTCTAGATAACTAGAGGATGGATGAGGGAGAAAGAGTTAAAGAATCTGTCAAAAACCTTAGGGAATTGGAAAGTGCCTGATGCTGGAATAATTAAGGTGAATGTAGATGGTTCTTTTATGACAAAAATGGAGAGAGTAGGAATTGGGATAATTTTTAGGAATGAGGAAGGCAAGGTTCTGCAGATGTTTGCTAATAAGATGCAAGCTCCTTCTGTGTTTGTTTTTGAAGCTCTTGCTGTCAGGAAAGCTTTGGAGTTGATAAGCTTGAGAGGTAATGGCAATTTCTTCGTTGAAACTGATTGTGATGTCCTTTTTAAAGCAGTGAAGAATGGTACTAGTGCAAACTGTGAGTGGCAAGCTCAGGCGGTGATTGAAGATATTATTAGGCAGCTGAATTCTTGCACAGGTGCTAAACTTGGTCTCATTTCTAGATCAAGTAATAAGGCTGCAGATTGGTTGGCAGTCTCAGGCTCAAAGGGGTGAGATTTGAGGGTTGTTTTGATCAACCTCCACCCCCTCTCGCCAAGCCCTTAGCTAATGAGGGTTCTTGGTTTGATGCTGGCTTCACTGCTGGATTTGATCAGTTTAATGATGAAGGAATGAGCAAAAGGGGAATTTGTTCTGCAGGCCATGGTGGAAGCTTGAACAGATATGGTATTGGTTAATTCTTTGTATTGTGCATTTGTTTAGCTCTTGTTGTGTTTTTTGGTTTTCCTTGAGCTGTTTTCTTTTTCTCTTTGTTTTTGTGTTTTATATGTTTAGCTTGCTTGTGTGCTAGGTTGTATCTCTAGGCTTTTTTTTTTGTAGTGTTTTTCCTTTTCGGGCCCTAAATGGCTATTGGTTTGTGTATCTGGCTTTTTGAAACTTAATAAAATGGATTCGCGTTTTTGGTCACAAAAAAAAAATTGTCATGGAGCCTTTTATATTACAGGGAGGTTTCCCTTCTTTTCATCAAAAGATAAAATTAAAATAAAAAGCTTTTGTAGCTAACACACTTCGCCCTAATTATTACGTCTTCCTTCCATTTTAGGAGTACAGCCATCCACTTGCTTGTCCCATTTATGGCAACTTAGGTGTCGATATGCAAGATTAAGAGTGTGTAGTTTTTGGTGTTCCCAAGCACCATCTAAATTACATATAATTTATTAAAAGGGTAATTTTCGTAAAATAATAATTTTTTGTATTATATAAAAATTATAAAAATTAAAAAAAAGGATCAACTCGCGGCAAAAATAAAGCAAGAAGAAATAATCACCTCCAATTTGATTTCATCATCTTCAAACTCTCTAGTTATATTTAAGATAAGATTTTCTTCATAATACAGTATTTTTATATATTTTTTAAAAATTTAAAGTAGTCAAATTTAATTAAAGTTTAAATTAACTTACTTTATTTGGTTTCTATGATATTTATAAATGATAAAACACCCCCAATCATTTTACCAAACTAAAAAAAAGAGGTGGCTTATTTGTTTGAAAATAATTTTTTTTAAAAATTTACTTATATTTAAAATTATGAATTACATTTTGAAAAGCAGAAAAAAATCAAATTTTAAATAAAATGAATATTAAAAATATATTTAATATTTTATTTGTTCACTTACTGTAAGAAATAATTTTAATTTTCAATTCTTCATGTTGGAAGGGATTAGTTTCTTGTACTAAATCTAACTATCGTTGATAAAATAATATTTAATTAAATTAAATAATTTGAAAGAAATGGGGTGGAGGTTGCCACTTGTCAAAAAGTGAGATGGGATTTTGTTTTGTATCCCGTTTCATTCTGCAACAGAAAAGAACTTTTTTTTATTTTAAAAAAACACATTATAATTTTATGAATAATTTTATTGAGAAAAGAAATTTTATTGAGATTAAGAACTGAAAATCAATATAAAAATAATAATAATTATTAATAATTGAATTGAATAATTTCATAATAATTAATAATAAATATTTTTTTAAAAAATACTGTTTTGAATTTTCTTTCCATCTCACTCCGAATTAAGGGTGGAAATAGGCCAGGCCAAGTCTGTTTTGTAGCCTATCGGCTTGAGTCTGGCTTGTATAAAGGTCTGGCTTATCCTGAAACCTGTTAAAAAGCCTGTATTTTTAAAAAATTCAAATTACAATTATATTTTTTTAAAAAAGATAAGATTAAAAAAAGAGTGCCTAATAATTAATTTTTTAGTTGTCTTTTATTTAAATTTTAGTATTATAAGTACTATTTTCAAGCTTAATTACAGTTTATAAGGATATTATTGAAAACTAGTTGTAATTATGTGTTAAAATTTGGAACAAGATTATGTTTAAGTACACCAAAAAATTAAAATTAAGACAAATAAATAAAGAGAAAAAACTATTGATTTCACAATGAATAAAGAAGGTATCATAATTTATTAACATAACACACAAGTTAATTAATTTATCATTTTTGGAGCAAAATTTTTCTTTCATATTTTATTTATATTTTTAAGATTTAAAAATCACATTATTTATTGATATTATTATTTTAAATTATATTTTTATCTTCACTTGTCAACTAAACTTTCAAAATATAAAGAAGGATTAAGCTATTAACTATATATTAAAATTAAAAAATAAACTAAAAGAGTACATTAACAATAATATCATTAACTAATTTTTTTATATATTATAATTATGAATTTTTGACAGGTCCAAACCGGCTTACCAGACTTAACAAGCCTTTTAGAAGCTTAAACCTAACCTTTTTTTTTTTTTTATATACAAAAGGGGCCAAGCGTGAGCTTGGAAAGAGAACACCTATTAGCTAGTCGTAGAACCCTCCTCCTCAAGGAGGTCCAAACATTTCGGGTGGGGGGTAGTCCAAATCATGAAGTTGCCCGCCATGTCGTGCGCGGTTTTTGCTAGACGGTCTGCACATCTGATTGTGTCTCTGGGTGCATATTTGAGTTGTAGAACCCATTCTGAGAAGATCATGTTACGAGCTGTATTGATTTCTTCCCTTAAGGGGTGATTTTGGCCTCCATCTCTCATGATTAGATTGTAAGCCTCCATAGAATCTGTATATGCTATTACGTTCCTTAGTCTGTACTGCTGACAGCACTGAAGCCCTTGCATTAGCGCGTGAAGTTCTGCAGTTGCGCTTTGTGCGTATCCCAGTTTGCATTGGTATCCAAGTACCCACTGTCCATATGAGTCTCGAATTATGCCTCCACCTGTTGCTTTCTGTTCATGATTAACTGATGCATCAGTGTCCAGCCTTAAATAACCTTGAGGCGGTGCTTTCCAGACAGTTTCCTCTCGGCTGCTGAAGTTGAAAATTTGATGCTTGTATTTCCCCATCACATTGTCTTCCATGAGCTGAAACATGGCTTTGTGGCAAATTTCTTCCGCGTTCAACCATCGCCCCTCCATAACATTACTACACCGGTTTTTCCAAAGAAGCCAGCATATGAGACAAAAGACTTTGACCCATGGCCATTTCATGAATCGTGGGGTCCCTAAACTCTGGGTCATATTCCTTTTGAGCCAAACCTGCAAGTCAGAAGAAAAGAAACTAAATCGAGCGTTAGGTTTAACAAAGTATATCCATATATCACGTGCCACCTCACAATCGCGGAGTATGTGAAGAATCGATTCCTCTCTTTCATACTCAAAAGGGCATTGGTTATTATCTGTGATTCCTCTACTAGCTCTGAGAAGGTTTGTGGGGAGCCTCTCAAGGAGTACTTGCCATATAAAGAACTTCACTTTCTCAGGGACTGGCAGCCTCCACACTTGCTTCCATGGAACCCTTCCAGATTGGCACTTTTGCATAGAGATCATTTTATAAGCAGCTCAGACACTAAAATTGCCATCCGGAGCATTTCTCCAGCAAAAAAGATCTTCAAGATCACCTCTAGGTGGTTTGACTGTGTGGATGATGTCAATAACCCATTGAGGGATGAACATCTGCCATCGCTGCACATCCCACCTTCCATCACTCTGAATAAAGTCCTTAGCCTTAGCACAAGGGTTAAGGAGATGGATATTTCGGTCCACATAATGAATAAGGGGTTCTTCAAATGGTAGCCATAGGTCCCGCCAAACATTGCATGTGTTGCCCCCTTTGATAAAACGACCCACTCCCCTGTAAAATTTGTCCCACACACTAGCTATACTATTCCAGACTCTGGAAGCATTTTGTTTCTTCAAGACCATCGGGTACCTAGAATTTCCACAACCATACTTCCCTCTGAGGCATTGTACCCATAAAGCATTTGGCTTTGTGAGGATCCCCCAGCATAGCTTCATGATAAAGGCTGTGTTTTGATTGCATAAGTCTTTAATACCAAGCCCCCCATCTTCCTTTCTGTATTTAATTTGGTCCCAACCAATTAGATGTAACTTTCTCCCTTCCTGGTTTTGGTTCCAAAAGAAGTCTCGGCATATCTTTTCAATATCTTTTAAGATCCCTTTTGGTAGGAGTATGGTTTGCATCTGATAGCTAGGAAGGGCTGAGAGCACCGCTTTAATCAACACTGTTCTGCCTGCCATTGTGAGGAATTTTCCTTTCCACCCTGCAAGTCGTTTTTGGACTTTCTGAATCAGAGGCAGATAGGTGAGCTTGGATTGTCTGTTATGTAGTAAAGGAACACCCAAATATTTTCCCAGGTTAGATGTCATACCAATTCCTAGTCTTTGGCTTAACTCTCTTGCCCGTTGGAAGTGCACATTTTTGGAGAAGAAAGCTTTTGACTTTGCAAGGCTCACTTTATGTCCAGAGACATTACAGAACTCTTGCATCACTTCTCTCATCAGATCAATTTGCTTGCTGGATGCTTCCCCGAAGAGTAGGAGATCATCAGCAAAAAATAAATGTGAGATGATAGGCGTATGTTTGTTAAATCTCAGTCCTTTCCAGTTCCCAGATTGAACATGTCTGGTAATCAATTGTCCAAGTCTCTCTATACATAAAACAAAGAGGTATGGACTAAGGGGGTCCCCTTGTCTCACACCTCGTGTAGGTGTAAAAGCAGAAGTTTCAGCTCCATTCCATATCACTTTCATGGAGGCAGAGGAAGTACAGGCCGTTATGAGATTCACCAACTCATTCTGCAACCCAACTTTGATCAGAGTCGATTTCAGGAAATTCCAGTCTAGTCTGTCATAAGCCTTTTCCATATCAACTTTGACAGCCACAAACCCTTTCTTCCTTGTCTTGTTCCTCATCGTGTGAATAGCTTCCTGAGCAATGATTATATTATCGCTACTCTGTCTCCCTGGTATGAAGCTACACTGTTGAGGTTGCACAAGGTATCCCATAGCCCTTTTCAGCCTGTTGGCCAGAATTTTTGTAATGATCTTGAAGGAGACGTTACATAGAGAAATAGGTCGAAAGTCTTTAATGGTCCGTGGGTGATCAATCTTGGGGATAAGAACAATATTAGTGTGATTAATATCTGCCACTTTCTCAGGGTGTTTCCAAATGTGTTGGATGAATTCACAGATTTTGGGTCCAACACGATCCCACTGTGTGTGGAAAAAATGAGCATTAAGGCCATCCGGACCTGGAGCCTTAAAGGCTCCCATCATGAAAGCAGCATTTTTTATCTCAGTATCATCTACCTCTCTGTGAATCAGGATTCTGTCTTCTATGTTCAAGGGGGGAAATTCTGCAATCCAATCCGATTAAACCTAACCTATTTAATTAAACAGATTTTCAAACGAATCTAAGCTTATCTCTTTTAAAAAACAGATCAGGCCACGGTATACTATAGGTCTCTCAAAAGGCGTCCGGTCTATTTTCACCTTTATACCGAATCGACCCAAGCCAAGACGAAATGATTAGCACGGACATGGCGCATGCGCCTCCGGGCGCAAGCCGCCCCAGCTTGGAGATGTTGCCAACTGCGATACAGCTATAATTCCTGTGGGCATTACCCCACCATCAAGCCATACGGCCTCATCCCCCACTGACATCGCCACGTGTCTTTCATGCACCTCAACTTCCTCCCCACACAAGTCTCTCTCCTTTCAAACCTAAGTCTACTTTTCCGGGCCCACCCGCATTTATTCTCTGACGTGGCATCTCTCCCTCTGGGATCTCCCACCGAACCCATTCAAACTCCCCTCCACGTGTCCTCTTTCCGTATCTCACTTCTCCCACGCGTACGAAGTATGAACCAGTCAATCGCCAAAACGTCGTCGTGTCAACATCACCAACCATGTTCCTCTGAAAAAGCTTCGCACCCACGGTCTGGTCCCCCTTACGAAACATCAGCTTGCTGAGCTGTACACCTCTCTTCTCCATACACGTGTCCTCCTCTGTGGAAAATATAGGGCCGAGCGCTCAATATGATTTGCCCGCGTGTCGTTTTCTTCTCCCGGCAATGTCGTTCAGTCGCCTCGTGATTCGTGGGGTTGCTTCGGACGTTAAAGATTCTCCCGCAAGATCTCCAAACACGTGTCACTTCCTGAGCTCCTCATGAACGCTCCCCACGTGTCGTCCTCAGAGCCCCCAACCAACCCCCTCCGATTCTTCACCAACGATTAAAAACTCGAAACGGATATTTAATTAGCGGATAATAAGGATTTCGTGGTACAGCCCGGTGTTAATGCCACCGTTTAATTATCCCCATTTAGCTTACGTGTCAACCAACCGTCCTCACTGCCTTCTCGTCTACCGCCACGTGTCCTTTCCCTCTCAAACGTCAAACCCACCCGCCTTTTTCTCTCCCGAGAAAATCCAGAGTCCAATCCGTCATCATAATTATTTCCGTAAGAGAATCATTATGATTTACTAGTATATGTAAGCTCTTTGGCGTTTCAGCTTTCGAGAGTTTCGTTCTCGTTCAACTTCAACAATGGTGGAAGTTTCAGAGGTTGGATTGAAGGAGGAAGAGGTAGAGCTTGATCTGGGTCTATCTATTGGAGGTAGTTTTGGTAGATCCGAGAAACCGATTCAACCCGTTGCAAAGCTAAACGGGTTCGAATTGAACCTGAAAGAACAGCAACACCACGCTTGGCATGGGAAACCTGAGGGTGTGGCGGTTATGTATCCACAGACGAAGCGTGAGATTCACGCCCTGCGGAGGCTGGAGGCGAGGAAGAAGCGGGAGGAGAAGCAGCAGAACAAGAGACTCGTGAGAGAAGCCGACTCCGAACTCGACCACCAACAACGAGTGTGCAAGAGGGAGAAAACGGATCGTCACGACGGTGGATCCGAGTACACGAATGTGAATCTGAATTTGAACGGCGGCGAGAAGCATCTAGGTGTCGCGAGTCACATCGCGGTTGGCTCTGCGGCGTCGTTTCAGCACCCGTACGCGTACGTGCAGTTGAACAATGGGTACGCCTACCCTTGCGTAGTGCCATGGACGGTGAAAGAGAAAAATGCGGGTCAGCCGGCGGAGGCCTGCAAGGGTTTCCGGCCGTTTTCTGGAAACGGGTACGGGTCGGACCCGAATGGTGAAAGGGATTGTGGAGATAAGAAGGCTAAATCCGACGGGTCTTCCATGTGCAGTTCTTCTTTGGTTTCCGATCACCAGAGTTCTTCTCATGAAGGTAATTATTTAAATATTTTATTTAGTTTTTCATGTCAATGTTCCTTTTCCCCCAGAAAAAAGTTAATATTCTTTTGTTGTGTGTGTGTGTGTGTATGAAGCCAGTATGAAGAAATTTGGATTAAACGTTAAAATGAAACAAAATAATTTCACCACGAACAACATGCGTTTTAAGCTGTCTTTGTAGGTGCTGTTTAGTTCAGGCATAATCTAATTTTTGGTGCATTGAAAAATTATTATAAGATATTTCTTTTGTGGAATTGTGCGAATTAATATTCTTATTGTTTTAACTCATTAGCTACCGTTAATATATTTCCTAGCAGTTTCAGTGTTTTCAGAACTACAAATGTTATTTTGTGTAATTTTTCTGTACCATGTACAGACTTTGAAAAATATATAAGCTTTTTTTTTTTTTTAAAAGAACATAGGTTTTCTCTTATCGGAGACAATCCTATTCGAGATTCTATCAAGTACTAGTTTATGAGATTCAAATGTTGGTTCGTCATAGTACGAGGGACTAGTTTTTTTCTGTTAGATCTAGGGGGTGTTTGGCAACTTCCAAACCATGGTTTCAGAAGCACTTTTCCGCAAAACGAGACAAATTCCTCCACATATTTATTTCGTAAACTGTAAAAGCACTTCTGAAACCATAGTTTGGTTTCTATCCAAACACCCCATAATCTAATATATAAGCTGCTTGCCTTATTGATTGATTGAATAAGCTGCTTGTTTGAATCACGTTCCCACACCACCAAACAAACGCTTTTTTTTTTTTTTTTTAATCACGGATGCAAAATGGGAATTAATGTAAAGGAATGGGTATTCGTGTGAAACGGGTCTCGCTACAAGAATTTTGTAGCCAAAAAAGTGTGCGTGTGGTGGATATGATCTTAATTATATTTAGCCAGGTTATGAGATTTTAATTTGAATTAATTAATGCTTCAAAAATGACTTTATCCTCAGGTACCTTTTTCATTACGAACCGAAAGTGAGATGTTTATATTAGTTTTTAAAAAGTGATTTTATGAGGTTCAAAATAAAAGGGTTATCTAGGTATAAATCAGACTATAATTTTAAAAATAATTTTATAATATATAAAATAAATATGTGAGGAATTTTATTTTGATTTAATAATAATTTTTTAAGTGGCTTTTAATATCCATTCGGCTTTTGAGTTTCAAAAGCTTTAAATCCGTCTTTAGTTCTGCTTGGATTTTTGGGGGAAAAATCTTTTGGGTCCAAACATGATATTTGGTCTCCAGCTGGTGTTTGGGCTTTTGACGAACTTTTAGAATTATAAAAACCAATACAAATACGTCCTTAAACTATTTATAAGTTTTATAAGTTTTAAATTGGAAGAGGGATATAGTTCATTTTATAAGTTTCAATTTGGTGTTTGTCTTAATATTTCATCCATATTTTTTTTAATTTTACTTTTAATTATTCATTCTCCTTCTTTTGCTACAATTTCTTATCACATTTTTTCATACATTCTCTTTTTTTTTTCCTCATTTATTACAAGGGCATATTTGGAAACAAAAATATATTTCTATCCTATTTGTTGCTTTTAATTAATTATTTATTATCTGCGAATTAGTTATTTGAAGCGTATAAGAGTAGTTATTTTTTCTTTGAGTATTATGTGACATAGTCTGCTTTTGAAATACTGGCTTCTTAGTGAACTATATATATAGTAATGAATATGATATATGTTAGATTTACAGCAATCGAAGTCTTATATTGGGTCTGATCATCTAATGTCAATTTGTGATCTTGTTCAGGTGGAGGCAGCAGCGATAGCCAGAGCCAATCAGTTCAGTCTTTAGCAAAACCAACCCACTTAAATAGCTCCAGTCAAAACAACAATAGAAGCCAGCAATCACCTGAACAAACTGCCTCATCTCATCACACCAATATTGTCCAACAAAACACAAACCAAACCGATCAAAAAACCAAACCCCGCCGCAAGCAACAAGATCAAGAACCCACCACAAAGAAGCCTCCACCACCCTTGTCTCATGAAAAAGACATGGTGGTGGGAAGAATCATTAAACCTCCAAGACCTCAGCCTCAGCCTCAGCCTCATCATCGCCCGACCTCACCGTCACTGCCTCCGCCACCGTCGCATTTGCTTACTAAGATGCCGTATGTTTCGACGACGGGGAACGGCCCGAACGGGAAGCGAGTGAATGGATTCTTGTACAGATACAGTAACTTGGAGGTGAGCATTGTTTGTGTCTGCCATGGAAGCACTTTCTCCCCTGCTGGGTTTGTGCAGCATGCTGGTGGCACAGACATTTCTCATCCAGAAAAGCACATTACGGTGATTCCTTCTGCATTTGGATGATGAGAACATTGGACACCAATTGATATAATCATCGTACAGGACATAAAAAATGAACATATCATGTTATTGTTTCTGGTACGAAGAAGGTCATAGACAGACACTGAATTCAATTAATGTTTAGGTCTTGGGGTTTCTTGTTTAGAGATTATTTTTGGGGCTTTTTCTTTTGGTCTCTTCTTCTTCTTCTTTGTTCTTTTTCCCCCCCCCCAATTTTTTCGGTTTGACTGAGTAAATTGGTTTGGGTACAGGTGCTAGCGATTTCCAGAAAATGAACTGGGAAGGTTGATGGCTTCTTTTTTTTTTCCGGGGGGCACTGGTTCATCTACTAACTGCACTAACATTTATTCTGATTATTGACTTGAAAATTTTCCTGGTTATTATATATGAGCCTAGTTTTTGTGGTGCAATTAACTCTTTATCATTCTTCTCAATTACTCTTTAATTAGTAAGATGAAGTGTGCAGGTTTTTCCCCCTAATTTTGGCTCATATAACTATAGGTATATTCGTATTCGCATTTCTATTTCTAGTGTTTTTTTCCCTCTTAAATTTCTTGTGATTAAGAAAATTTTTAGGTATCTATATTATTTTCCAATTAAAAACAATATTTTTTGAGTGAACCAATCAAATTAAAAACAAGAGCCTAAAACAAAACTGATTGGCTTGATCCTTGCTGACTTTTCTAATCTGTCGAACAAAACATATACCATGTAATGCTGCAATTGACAACATTCTAGAAGACCCAATATTATAGTTAACATAATATTCTTTTGATCTTTGATATAAGATTTATTTAACTAATTTGATTAGATTAAGAAAGTTAAATAAATTAGTTAATTATAAAAAATATAAGAAATATGACGTGTTTCTCTTAAAATATCATAATCGTCTTTCTTAATATTCTCCTTCTTTCTTTCACTTGATTGTGATTGAAGGAGTATCTATAAGGTAATTTAGAAAAAATTGATAAATATAGAAAATAAATCTTATATTTAAGAGTAAAATTAACTCGTTCTTATATTAAAAACCGGAGGAGTATTAATCCCCCATCATTTTAAGAACGTCAATAATAAATATAGCACATTGAAAAGATAATTTTGGGTATAAATAAATAAATATCATGGTCTGGGAGTATAAACCAATATTAAGGCCTACTCTTAATAACAAATCAATTATTCTATCCCATGCGATTAATAACTAGTATTACTTTTAATTTTTAATATAAAAGCTAGTTGTCTAATTTGAATATATTAAAAAAATTGGTTAAATTATTTATTTGTAAAAAAACATATATTATTTTTTTAAAATATCCTTGCTAATAATGTATATTAACTAAAAATACTATTAATTAGATGAAACATTTAATATGTGTAATTACTAAAAAGATTGTCTTGGGAAAAAAGAGACAAAATGAACTAAAATCTTATACTTAGAACCAAATTAAATATCAAATTAGTTCTTACATTAACTATCATAATACTATACATATTTCATCCATTTGGCAGCACAAAAAAGGTAAAGATATCCCTTTCTTATTCACCATTCATCAACAATAATTCAATCCAACATCGCCAGGTACCAAAACGTTTCCATAACCGATACTCAAATTCTTCAAAAATAGTAAAATAATCATCCTCCTGTAGCAAATTCCTAAAAAAGAGGTTGAAACCCCAAAAAAAAAAAATTGCAAGGCACTTCCGTGGAAGACAACTGCACAAATTTTCCCCCCTTGAATTTTGGTCAAATTAAATATATTTTTCTATTTTATTGATATGCTCAGACATGTTCTAAAAATAAATTAATATGAATTTTTTCCTAATTTTTGTTAAAATCACACCAAACTCTTATATATAAAATATTAGTGCGACTACAGTATATATTAGATGGCAAAAAAAAATACAGTATGCATCAATATATTGATTTTCTTGTGTATATTGACTTTATTACAAGAAATTAGTGTTGGTTGCCGATCATTTTTGTTTTACTAATTTTTATATTAATGGAATATTATTATTATCCGTATAAATGCAATTGTAAGGCGCTTTCAAATTCCGCTTTGGGATTTCTTGTCGTTGTACAAATCGCAAAGCAGTGCTCTCTCACAGTTCCTTTTTACAAGATCCCCTCTATATAAGCTCCTTCCTCTTAAACCCTCTCTCTCCTTCTCGCGTTCTCCTTTCTTCGCGCTCTTTAGTACGATCCAGAAGCAAAACCCTAGCGAAGAAGGAGCTGAGAAGTCGTGAGAGCTACGCGTGTAAATTCCTCCTCATCTTCACATCCCGCGATCCATTCTCGTTTGCCTGGTTAGTTTCTTAAACCCTCCTGATTGTAAATTCCTGAGCTTCTTCCTTATTAGTTTTTCTGGGACATTTTATTTGGAAGTGAGACTCTCTTTGCGATAAATGTTAACGCTTGTTTTTGTCCGAGGTGGGATTTTGATGGTGTAGCGGAAACTTCCGTGGAAATTTTTTTACTGTACTTCGTGTGGAATTTTATATTCTCTGGGAGGTGGTGAAGTCCTGGTACGAACCAGGAATTTGTGTTGAAAATGTCTTTTGTTCGCACCTGGTATTGAGTATGTCTGGGGTACTTATCTTAATCAGGAGTTTGAGCCTTTGAAGCATGACGCGTCCTATCTGAAAGTCGTTGCAAATGAGGCAGAACTTGCCACATTCTTTAGGCTATGTCTGTTTGCTCAATGAACTTTTACCCACGAATACATTATAGTCTAAGATCATTTGTCTCTTGGTCGTACTATGTTTGGATGATTGTGAAAGCCTCGTTATATACTTTCAAGCTCTTTCTGGCAAAGAGTATACTGATTAATAGAAGCTCAACCATCAATTATCCCTTATGTTGGATTATTATTTTACTGAGCGTTTATTCTGAATTGACATTTAAATTAGTTTTGCACTAGTCTATGCTTTTTTTCCCCCTGTTCTCTTTTAGAGTCTTTTGATTAAAGGCATTTATATTGTTTTTATGTTTTCACAGTAGTTATTTGTTTTGTTTTCAGACATATTTGGTGATGGCATCTTCAGAGCAGCCAGCGCCCGCTCAGAATCATCCTGCAGCTCATATTGTATGTATATCCTGATGCTGCAGAGTGTAGCATATGTTTATTTGTTAATTTTATGACTTGTTTTATCTGAAAATGCGATATAGGTTGGGAATGCCTTTGTGGAGCAGTACTACCATATGCTGCATGAAAGCCCTGAACTTGTGCACAAGTTTTACCAAGATGTTAGTAAGCTGGGTCGCCCTGAAAAGGATGGTATAATGGGCATTACCACCACAATGCAAGTGAGTTTTTTGTCCCTTTCTTTCTGCCATGCCTATATACCCATAGTCATATCGAATTTATGATATCCATTCTGCTTTACGGTTGATTTTTTTTTTTTTTTTTTTGGGGGAGGGGATTATCTATTAGACTCTTTGGTCACCTGGATTTTATTTTAGCTCGCTTGCTTACTTCAAAGCAAAGTTGAAATTTGCCATTGTAATAAAAACAAGCCAATTTAAAAGGAAGGGGGAATTGATAATGTTGGATGAAAACGTCTAATGACCTGATCTATTAAATTGATGCTATGTTGAAAGAATTTATCATTTTTGTTACTACTGCTTGCTTGCTTTGATGAAGAAAACTGGCAGAATAGAGCTGTGTGGGTCCTAATAGGTGTCCATTTAGGAAACAGATATGAAACTGCTCTAATGGCGCTGAATTGATCTAATATTTTTTAAAGCACCATCCATTATTTGATTGTACAGGCTACCATGTTGAGCCCGATCCTTCTCTTTTGAGTTAGTTTATTGAAAAGAATTATGATCACCCATCCTTGTCTAGCATTCATGATCTTACCTTTGGGTCTTCCTTTGGAGCTGCACTGGTTTTTCTCTGGTCAGGTTGTTTCTTGAGCAGGATGGAAAGTTATAATGCGTCCTGCAATTGATCTGTCTTAAGATTGCCATTGGATTTGGATTAATGTCGACATGGATAGTCTTGTTCCTAGCTTCCTGTATACCATCAAGAATGGTAATGGAAAGTTTGGTTTTTTCTTCCTATTGAGGCTTGTGATCATTTCTGAACCAATGATGTATCTGCCTTGCTACTCATGACATGTGGTTTTCATCACATGTGAGTGAAAGTGGGAAGGCAATCTAACTTGTTCTTGCAAAATCACATTCCCAAAAAGTGTGACTCGGTATTTTGTGAAGCATTACAATATACACAATCTGGGTTTAACTGCGACATTCTTGGATTATTATCTGTTGGGATGGCTCTTTTACTCAGCTTGCATGTGAACATGATTAACTTCAGAGGGAGCTTCATCCGTTGAAAGTTTTTCCAATCTGTGTGGTTAGGGTTGGTGAGACCTTTTTCTACCAAAAGGCACCTGTAACTTGGGCTGCCCAACCATGAGAGGCTGTCCTTTTTGTAATAGTTGGACGGAGGGTTGCCATGGTTTGCCTCTTTATCTTAGGTTAGTACAGTGTCCAATGGAGAAAAATTCCATTCTGATATAATATGCAATTTATGATTTGCATTAATCAAAACTGGAAGACTTGGGGTGAATTTGCTGATCTGGTTGCTGGGGCAACATAGGTGTGGCTGACAAGGACATCTTGTTAGAGCCAATTCGCCAAACTAAGCAATATGTAACAAGGGTGTTGCATTTTGCAATACTCTTGACATCCAAGAAGCATTGGAATGTGTGTAGGCTGCCTATTGTGGTGTTCTTTCAATACTCAGGTTGCAGTACTCTGGTCAAGAGGGACTTCGCCTTTTGTCTAAGATGCACTGGTATTGTTTAGTGAGAAGAGGCTGGCTGAAAAGATCAAAGGTCTGAATCACAATCCTCCCTATTTAGTTATGATGAGATGCTTCCATCATATGAGGTGAATTCAGGCTCTGTCGTTATTGTGACCCTAAAAGTGATTTTAAGATCTATCAGCCTAAGTTGCTAATTCTTAGTGACTTCTCTGATTTCTTCTTTTTGTCCTT